CTCCACTCCTTCCCTCTGCCTCCCACTCCCACCCCTCCCTCACCCACTCCTTCCCTCTGCCTCCCACTCCCAACCCTCCCTCACCCTTTCCCTCCACCTCAAAACAAACCCCTCACCCCTGTCCCCCTTTTGTAGACATGTGTGGACACAGCGCAGTGCTGGAGAGGCCAGTGGTGGGCGAGTCACCAATTAGTTTGAAAAGACATAGAGTTATGCCCCTGTCCCTATATTCTCAACCTGACCCATTCCCCGCCTCCTTCCCTCTGCCTCCCACTCCCAACCTTCCCTCACCCTTTTCCTTCACCTCAAACAAACCCCTCACCCCCATCCCCCTCAGCAGAGCTGCCTCAGAGGGACACAGAGACACAAGGACTGAGATGCATGGACAGAGACACACATGAGAAAAGCTCATAGAGACTTCATGAGAGATTGAGCTGCAGAGCACGTCACATGTCACAGCGAGGGTGCAGGTGCAATAAGGTGCAGCATAGATCAAGATCCTTCACTTGTTACTAAACAGTTCCACAACACTACATGCATGAAATGTTGTTCTGTCTTTGCTGTTAGATAGACTGCATATAACTGCAGGATATTCCGATCTGTAGTTACTTTGGTCACATTTCCTTTGAAAAGCTAATTTAAGACATAAAGTTTGTTTATGTACCAAACTAAATATTTACTGATTCTATTTTTATCTGATTTCTGAGTCTGATGTGTCACAGTGTTGCAGTCACAAATCACGATTATCAGTTGTGGCATCTTATTAAATTAACATCCTTATTTCAAACCCTTTTTTTCTCCACTCTCCAGGTGATTAAGAGGCGGAACATACGTCCGGAGGAGACAGACCACAAGCCTGAGCACCGGCGCCTGAAGTCCACACCAAAGCTGAGATTCCACGTCACAGCAAGAACAAGGTGCAACATAGACTCAAGATCCTTTCACTTGTTACTAAACAGTTCCACAACACTACCACTTTTCACTTTTGATAATATTTTTAGAAACGTTTCCTAAATCTGTGTTTTTAATGAGGTGTACTTTTTAGCTAATTAAAAACTTATTTGCAGCTATTAAATATAGCTTTGTTCCACAGAACCTTATTGGAAAGTCTGGAAGTATCAAGTTGTGCCTATATTGCATATATATATTTATTTATTTTGATAAAGATTTTAGCTCAACCCTGAGCCATAGTCATCCATAGTTATGCTGCTATAGGCCTACACTGCCGGTCTGTCGCAGGGCTGACATGGAGGATCACGCAACCACCAGCACTCTCACCTGAGGACCTCTCCCCTTTGGAGCCATGAGTCCTACTACTGCGCATGTTGGACCATGAGGGAGGCAGGGGTGCCGGGGGGGGACCAACGGGGAAGACCATGCCAACGTCCATGCGGAGATTCCCGGGCTGGATTCAAGCCCATGACCTGAGACTGTGACTTTTTGTGCACCGGGCCAGAACAGGGTTTCTCAACAACAAACTGACAAACCAGAAAGTGAACCAATGTTAAATATTTGACTTTATTCATAAAATTATTTTAAAAACACCACATGTATCCTAAAACAGTGAACCAGTGTGACTCGTCTTTGGAAATATTTTTGAGTGTCACCGGTTATAGGACATACTTGAGCTAGGCGTTGCTCTTCAAGAAATATCATGTGGGACATGCCTCAATAGCTATTCAACAATTCAATGTCCTCGGCGTTAAGTGCTGATGAGGGTGAACGTTTTGTTGGCGGGCTCAGCTGTGAGCTGCCACACACCTCTGACTGACGCTGTCTTTTTTTGATACCGTGACAGGAACTTTTTGCAGGATGATTTGTCTTATGGGGAACCTGTTTCTCAAGCATGTGTTTATTAGCTGCAGGTCTGTAGAAATGCAGTCTCTCCCGCTTGTCCTCTTCTTCACTCTCACAAACGAGGGGGGCTGCGTTCAGGACGTCTCTCACAAACTTCTGCCTTCCGACTATACAACAAAAAGACTTTTATAAGTATTGGATAAGTCAATTTGATTTAATGTTAGTCAGTTAGAATGTAATGTTAAATAAAAGAAGACTTACAAAAGCGTAGCGCCGATGTTCTTGATGCTTCAATTTTCTTCTGTTTTGGCATTTGGGAGGTATTTGTTTCCCACTGGTTTACAACCTGGAAACAAGACAAGCATATGTTAAGATGATGTGCAACACTTCTTTCTAAAAGTTATTTTCTGGGCATTGAGCCTTTATTCAACAGTACCAAATTGTGAAATGTTGAAGTGAGCAGCAAAGGGCAGAGCCGGGACAAAATCTGCATCTGGTGCATGTAATACATTACGTCCTACCTCTGCCTGCTGTGCCACCCATCACCTCAACACTCCCTAAAATGTCTCTGTTGTTGCAACCGCTTCTAAGAAGAGAATCGGAGAATCTCCCCCTGCAATGTTCATGCGTGAAACCTCTGGAAAAAGCCCAGATTCAATTCTGCATACATCCGCTGGAGTATGTATGAAACTGTCTCCTATCAGCACCTGAGGATGTGTACCTGTTCGGCCCAGCCTTCTGTTTTACATCTTGAGTGATCAAAGAAGTCCAATGGCTTCTCAGAACGAACGAGTCCCAACAGGTTCCATATGGTCGTCTTCAAACCTGCATCAAGCTGGAGGAATAAATTAATTTTATACATCAGCATCACAATAAGCCGCAGCTAGGTGTTGCACACAACCATTATTGGCTTACCTTCAAACTGGTCCCAGATACGTCAAGTTTTTCAAGTTTGGGGAGGCATGTGAGGTATCTCAGTGCTCTCTCTGAGATAGGGTTATCTGTATGAGAAAAAGAATAACTGACCAACTGTTTAACAAAACACATCAACGTATTACTGGTTTGAATTTGAAGGTTGTGGTATTT